GAGGGCCTGAAGGCCGCGGCCAGGAACGGGACGGGGAGGTCGCAGATGGAGGACAGGCCGCTCCATGCGATGTTGTAGTGGGAGACATGCGGCAAATTGGACATGACCTCTAGCATGGTCTTTATCAAATCTGGCACGCTCCTGAACTCGAGGACGGCCGAGGTCCTGGCACAGTGGGCGAGCCGCTTCTGGTCGCGAAAGAGGCCCTTGAATTTGCCGCGCAGCGAATGTGTGTGGCGGACAAGGGCCACGGGCTCGTGTTCCCTTTCCAAGACCTCCTTGACAAAGTAGGGATGCACGTGTAGTGTGTGGACGCGTCTCGCCACGGCGGGATCTCTGGATAATTTGTGAGTTTAGTCTAGAATGCAAGACACAAGACGCACCTAAGTCGGGTGAGGTTGCGGAGCATGGTCCTATTGAGAAATGCAAAGCTGATCTGGCCGTAGCGCGGCATTCATTGCAATGTCGAACCACTGGCTGTTGACGGCGTAGAGGTCGGCGACGACGTGCGCAGGCATAAAATCCGCAATCTGGAGCCATATCTCTGCAGGGGAAGATCATGGTGGGCTGCGGTCAAGAGATTGGATGCTCCGGGCCTGTATATGGGCCAAGAGCTCATGACGGGCTCTGACAGTTGGACGACGTTCATGTCCAACAGTCTGATACCCAAAAGCGGACAGGGCTTCTTAGCCCGCATTTGGCCTCATTAATTGAATCAGTTTTGATTACCGACAATCCGCGCTCGCTGCTTGAGGCTGGTTGCTCACCTCGCACCTTGCATTTCTGGTACAACGGTGGCGCGACCTAAAATTTAGTGTAGCAATATATCGATATTTAGCGGTTAGTCCGAGTCGGCAGCGGACGGTGGAGATGGAGACGGGGAGGCATGAATGGCGTCTCAACAAAACAGCATCTCCGACCCGAACCACGTCAACCGTGCAATTATTTGGTATTACGATTAGTAACGTCGGCAACTTGGATAAAGATAGTGTCCAGGGCGCGATACAGATCGCAGTAAAGTCGAAGCTGACTGAGGCTGCGTGGTAACAAGAAACGCACAATGAAAGGCAGATTGAAACGAGGAAGAGATAATTCTGGAATACACAGGTAACAGTAACTTCGTCGGAGATTGTCCTATTCCTGCTTAATTACTGTAGTTCTCTGTTCTCCGGAGAGCCCGCAGTGTACAGCGTCGTGACTTGTCGGCGAAATAGAGCCGCAGCCTCTTGTCCCCACCGGGCCCCACCTCTTGCAATTGTATTAGTTTCCAGATGACAGTTCATCTCCACACCAAAGCAAAAGTCAAGCAAAAATCAGCAATGAAATAAAATGCACACGCGCGACGCTGACAGGCGCCGTGTGCCTCCCCACGCCCGAGGAATCCTTATGCGAGATGCCAAATCAGGACTCCGCAGTCCCGAGTCGACGTCAACGCTCGGCTGGCCGCACGTCACGTACACGCACCCGGTGCCAGGCGGAGTGCTGACGGCCCGACGCTTAGCACATCCGTCAGGCTTCAGCGTCCCGAAAATACTTGAGATAAATACATATCTGATTGCCGTGACAGCCTTGAAAAATATGTCAATAAAAATAAAAAAGGCGTGCCTGCGAACCAGAAGTCGAGTCATAATGCTGTCAAGAGACTGCATACCTGCTAAGTGCAGGACAGATATATTGGAGCATGCCAAAGCCAAAGTCACTCCAAAGCTTGCTCTTCGGACATGCATGTCCGCCTGCCCACCTATAAAAACAAAAGTCAGTCAGCCAGGCATGCACGTCACCCAGACGAAATGGAATAAAATAAACACACGCACCAACTGATCAGACTAGTATTGACGCCGTGCCCTTGCCCTTGCCCTTCCGCGGGACGCGTCCATAAGTGAAACACCGAGTCTGACCCGAGGCGAGTCCGGGCTGGCAGGACGTTTGCGTCAGCCAGTTGCCGACGTCACGCATACGGGCCCGACGTCCCGATATTCAAGTAGCACGTTGAGGTCCTGGGCGCCGATACTTCCGAAACACACACATACCACGAGTGACCTTAGAAAATATAAAATAAATAAAAATAAAAACAAAAAAACGCGTGTCTCGACGCGCGGTATCATGCATGCCAAAGTCACTCCGACGCCGTATGTTTTTTCGGCGGGCCGGGCAGTGGGAATTCAGGATGGAAGGCGAGATACAGATGGTCTGAGAGACACTGAGAAGGCGTCTGCGCGACACTGAGAAGGCGTCTGCGCGACATCGAGAAGGTGAGAATGGAAGGCGATTCAGAGCGTCTTGGAGACGGTGGGAAAGAGACACCATTTGAAAGACAGACAGCTGGCCAGTTGGACTAGACAGAACGCCGCGGCGGACATGCCGCGGCGGGGCCCGGTGGAGGAGCTGCTAAATCCACGGATCCAGAGGCACAGACACTCCACGGTACAAGTATATGTATATATCTCTGTCGACGGGCGGCTTGGACCCGAGTGTACGGGCGCCGCGCCCGTTACGCAGCAGGCCGCCGAGTCCGAGATGACGATCGAGCCCGCGGCTTCAGCAGAGCGCTTGTCAAGTAAGTTCGGAACTCAGTTAATTATACAGGAAGAACTTGGACGTCGGGCAGGTTTGAGTTTTAATGGGGAAGCTTGGGCGGCGACACGTTGGAACCAGAGAAAGGGCGCATAGGAATATGCAAAAGGAGCACTACGGGTCCGACTGTCACAATATGTTTAGCTGTCGGCGCGGCCGCGGAATGGCCGACGGAGAGGGAAAGAACGCGAGACTCAGGTGAAACAGGTATACTAGTAGTATGGGAGTTGAAGGAGGACCGTTAGAGAAGTGCGAGTGGCGAGAGTGTTTGAGTAATGGAGACGACATCCATATATGCTATATGGCCAGAAGCGGTGAAAGGGCACCAGCAGCAATAGAGCTTGGGAGCTTCAATGAAGTTGAAGAGCATGAGCGAATTTTGACAGGTGGCGGTGACGATAAGAATGCTATCTGATCTAATCTAATCTGACTTATCAACTTAACCACAAATTGATAACGCGACAACCAAATAGGCCACCAGGATAGTTATATGCGGCGCACAAAAAAAAAAGCAAGGTCCATTCTTGTTTAATTGTCCGTAGAGTTACTCGACACACGTAGACTATCTACTTCGTACAATACTTCCCAGCACAGCGTCCACACACCGCCTCTGGAGCCGCAGCTTCGGCGAAAACATCCATATCTTCACATCTCTCAACTTCCACCCCGCGTACGTCCGCTTGTCCATCGCCTCGCAAAAGCGCGCCTGCCACCAGTCAGCATATTACCGCGCACAAATATGTAGATGAATAAATAAATAAAATGCACACGCACCAGCTGGGTCTCCTTGCACTGCGGAGGGACAACAGCATTGACGTAGGATATTCGGACGTCCAGCCCTACAAGCCCGGGCACCGCGTCGGACAGCATGTCAACCAGCTCCGGCGTTAAGCACGTCACGAACAGACGCAACGTCTGCAGCCGGTCGCCGAATCCGTGCAGCACGGCCTCGACATCTTCGTAGCTGAGATACGTTCCGCACAGGTCCAGCGCCTGTCAGCGTTGTCGCGAACTGTTGTACACACGGCACGGCACTGTCCAGCGGGATGAAGGCTGTTCGCACGTCGAGGGTGCGGAGAGCCGGGAAGGCGAGCCCTTCGAGACACTCTGAGAACCAGGCGGCGTCCACGCTTTGGCGCCGGGTGGTGGAGTTGAATCCGCGGAGCGACAGATGCGCCACCGTATCGCTCTGGTCGCGTAAGAAGCCGTTGAGCGCCACGGGGTCGCCGAGGTGAGGGCGCGCAGTGGGGATCGCCAGCGCCAGCGTGGAGAGACGGGGGAAGGGTACAAGTGCAGAGAACAGCGGGGAAAAGTCGTGGCCGAGGGACGTCTCGAACGACAGGGATGTGAGCGTGCGGTGCGCGTTGTTCATGAAGCGCGCGAGGTGGTGTACCATGGCGTACCCCGCCGCGTCCAAATCACCCGCGTGGTCACTGCGCACGCACAGATTGAGCTCGCTCAAGCTGGGCAGCACGACGGTGGGCAGGAAGACGTGCTCCGTCTTGTCCAGCGCGAACTCGATCGTGAGCGTGCGGAGAGACGGCGCAAAGGTAAATGGCACAGTGAGGAATGAAGTAGCCGCGCAGAACATATTGGACAAGTTATCATCGCATTGAAGCTCAAGAGGGCGCAGAAACGTCGTCGGAAGCTCGTGCCATCGAATGTGATACTCCTCAACGTCGTTCAACCGAGTGAGCAACTCGCGTGCCGCAATTAATGTATCCTCGAAAGGCGCGCCACAATGGCTGTCCAGCGCGTCGCGCACAAAGTACGGACCGATGCGCAACACGCGCACGCGCCGAGAAACCGCTGGATTCCTGAGGAGGGCAGTTAAGCCACACACAAGCATTTATAAACGACAAACGCTTACCGCAGCCGCTCCGCCGTCCCATCCGCTAGATCCAGAAACCCGAGCTCGACCTCCCGATATTGTTCGTCCACTAGTTCGTTCACGCGCTGCAAGAGAAGACTATTGCTCTGCTGGTTATCCTGGTCTATCTTGCTCTGCTGGCTATAGAAGTTGTCCATGAGGCCGACCAGAACTTCGCGCGTAAAGAACTGCGCGAGGTAGAGCCATATCGCGGAGGGGGTCATTACAGTCATCTTGGGGGAGAGGAGGTTGAGAGTCAGAAGAAGAGGGCTGCACTACGTATCGGTGCCATGTTTATCTGGTGAACGGCGAGTGGAGACCGTCGTAGGCGCTGATGCGGCTGTAAACGTACGTAGAGTTCTGCCGTTAATTTAGCCGCCAGTGGTTGATCCAAACTTGCACTCCGAAACGCCGGCCAAAAGTATGGAGGGATTGCGTAAGGGCTGGGCTGGGGTACAATTGAGAGGGTATGGTGAATATGAACTTGAAAATGTTTAATAAAGTCGTCTTGATTGGTTGTTGAACGATGAATGCGGGCTAAAAATGCAAAAAGTAATGGCATCACCGTGGCTTGAACACGGGACCTTCAGATGGACTGAAACGTCTTCAGTCTGCTGCTCTCCCAACTGAGCTATGACGCCGATGAAGACCGATGGAAGAATGGTCACTCAGTATGAAGCGGAGATCGAAGAGTTACATAATAGCGAAGCAGCATCAAAATTGAACTACATACTGAAAACTTGACCAAAACCACCTCACCCATTGGCACCTAACTTCAGCTCCCCACTGGACCTCAGGCACCCGTGAATGTAGCTATATATATGTCCTGCTATATATACATCTGCGAAGGCTTAGCTTCACGGTGCTCGTCATTACAGTAATGGAGAACATACAAACTACCGTCTCCCCACTGGCTGAGCCGAGAAAGGCCTCCTGGATGTCCTCATAAGCAAGAGCCGCCTAGAGTCAGACATGGGACTCCACCCATTTGCCATCCATGCTCAGCTTGCCGAAACACCAGCTTTCCTTACTTGCACTCAACATAGCTGTCGCACTTGGACAGAGCGCCAACGTTATTGTGCGTCACCAGCATATCGTATTCGGACACTTGATTCAAGCATCTGTAGATTGAGAACAAGCGCGATTTTGCAGTCTTGGATCCTCACGGCCCGTTCCGCAATGGGTCCGAGTTATTTGAACCTCGAAATACTACCCTCGTCCCTCCATATTTCCAGAGTTTCGACGACCGATTCTTGAAGCTCTTGGGCCCAAACCCGTCTGTTTTTTCTTCTACTTTTTTCTTCCTTCTACTGAGGAACGTTTGGACCACTAGAACCGTTCGCGTCATCGTGGAGAACGACACATTTCCCTTTGCGCACGAGGCACCCGTATGGATCCCAAGCACAGATGACGTATTTTTCAATGGAGGGAGAACCGTAAACCGACCGGTATGTCGTATCCTGTTTCAGTTACGGGGGCCGTTCTTAATTATCTCGTAGATCTCCAAGATAAATCTGCACGATCTCAAAAACAGCACGACGGGAATGATTAACTTCACCATAGCACGTATCATCCCCTGTCATGACTACGTCCGCTCATTGTCTTTTTCTTGCAGATTCCCCCTCAGTGATGACGTTCAAATTACCAACGGCGCAACAATGTTCAAGGGCGACCTTTTATTGGTGACTACAGGATCTGGTCCGCTACCACCAAGTATCGTTCGCGTCAACCCTTTCCCCCCGTTCAATGATACCGTCCTGCTGAACAACTTCTATGCCCGCCAATTCAACTCCTTGAACGACGTCAAGGTGCATCCTCACAGTCGCGCCATTTTCTTCACGGATGTTACGTATGTCTACTGCTCCTTGATGCTGTCCGGAATCATTCCATAATCTTGGCTGTAGATATGGGTTCTTAAACGGATTCAGACCGCCACCCTTGTTGCCTAACCAGGTCTACCGCTTCGACCCAAACACGGGAGAGGTGCGCGTCGTTGCGGACGGCTTTGTTCAGCCAAATGGGATCGCCTTTTCGTCAGATGGCAACACAGCATATATGTAATTGATTCTCTATCAACATTCTCCCTGTTGTGGCAAGTTAATCATCTTGTAGTGCAGATACCGGTGAAGCGGAGGGTGTTATTGGCGGAATTGATCTGACGAAGCCTGCGACGATGTGAGTAATAATCCAACATGCGCTGTCGCCCACACCCATTCATCCATCATAGCTACGCCTTCGACGTCCTCCCTGATACCCAGGCCTTCGCAAATCGACGCGTGTTCGTCTTCGCCGACACCGGATCAGCTGACGGCCTGGCTATAGATACCGGATGGAAATATCTGGGCGGGCTGCGGCGACGGAACCGAGGTAGGCTGGGCTCTTGTCTAGTAATTGTACTAGATTAACTGTTGATTGAAATATAGGTGTTCGATCCCAAGGGACGCTCTTGGGCAAGATATTCCTTGGTGTCAGTTCTGCAAACATGGCGTTTGCGGGCAAGGGAAGGCTACTCATCATGGCGGACACGAAGATATTTTTGGCAAACATCGCAGCCGAGGGACAGAACTTGAACCTCTAGTACGATTCAATGGGAGGTAGCTACGAGGATCCGAGCTGTATATCTATGTTGCTTGAAAGACACTTGATGAAATGTATCATTGCGACCGAAGAAAGTGCGTAATGTGCATACCTAGTACTGTCAGCATTCCTAGAACCCAGAAAAACCACGAGGTGTGGTGCAGGGGTGAGTTTGGGCCTTCAACGCTCGATCGGGACAATATCTACCATATCCGGATCCAGGCGGAGCATGTTTTGTACTTGTTTGTGTGGGATCAAAACAATCTTCCACCGATCGCCACCGCACGAAATTCCGAAGAGTCAGACACGGACGAAAATGCCCGCTGGCGACGATCCCAACGGCGTCTCGGCGGCGCAACATCGTTTTCGTCTCAATGGGCCAATCGTCGCCAACCCACCGCCATCCTCAGCAAACGCCTCTGTCGAGAACAACATCGGCGTCATTACTACTGGCAACACAGCAAATATCACCAATATTGAGACGCGCGTTCCTGATACATCTGGCTCAGGCCCATTCCTAGTAGGTTCACAGCGCACTGCGGCACCAGGTGTTTCATCTGACCCGTGCAGTATGCCCAGCTGCCGTATCGCAATTCAAGATATAAGGAAAAGTACGGAAGCTTGTAGAATTTCCGGAATCGGCAGAACTGACGACAGCGCCCAGATTCCAGGCTTTACGAGAAAAGTATGATCGTGTAACAGCTGTGCGTAGCCTATTCTATTCATGCGCACACTGTTCATGCGTCCTGATTCTGTCCTTGTAAAACCAGAAACAAGACGAGTACCATCAGGACCTCGAGATCGCCAACGCAAAAATAAAGAAGCTCCAAGCGGAGAATGAGTTAGTCCTGTTACTTATTTTGTATTCCCCGCTGAACGAGACTATGTGCCTTCTTAGCTTGCTGCTCGACGCGATGAATATCGCAGCGACACAACAGCCCTCTTTGTTCGGGCTCCGCTCACCGCCACGCCCGTCTGATGTGGTGCCCGTTGACCGCTCGCTCGATTTGGACGCGTTCGCAGGCGCGAGCACTAGCGCCGCGCCGCTTCTCTCCTCGCGGCACCACGTCAACGGAAACGGCAATGGGAACGGCAATAGCGTGGAGCCCCGCAGCGGCAGCAGCAGCAGCCACAGCGTCATACACACAAACGGACATCCGCCGCCCCCTGAGGTTTACCAAATCATCTTTCTACTCGCACACAAAGCTCACATCATCCACAGCCCCGGCCACACCCATCCCGCGCACCATCCATCGAGTTCATCGCGCACGATATGAACGGCCGCGCACCTTAACACCCTTGTATCTCGCCTGCGCCTAATATTGTATATGTATCTTTAACTAAGTATCCGGTCAAGGATTCGTATCATTTTTTTCTTTTCCCATCACCCTATCATAGTGGTTCTAATCTCACTCTTGTCATCGCTGCATACCATGTACATTCGCATTTTCGCATTCGCTTTGATTTGGCTCGGTCTGTTTCGATTCGGGACATTGGTAGTAGTACATACGATTCGGATATCGATATCTATTGAGTTACGTCGCCTCCTCCGCCCCCTAAAAATGTGAACAGATAAGTAATAGAACAAGGAGTGTGAATCTGGAACGCCGTGCAACATATATAAACAGGATGCGGAGGTTGTGATGTGGTGGAGATGACGACGGAGTAACGAGCGGTGGAGATACAGTGATAGTGGTAACGAGCAGATGTCGGGGGAGGACGCAGGGTGTTTAGAATTGGAGGGAATAAACAAACACGGACAAAAAAAAAAAGCAGAGCGAGAACAAATCAGAACATCGTGCAAGGTGGGGGACAAATGAATGACCGGGAAGGAATGAAGGACCGCTCTGCCGTTCTGGATTTTTTTGTAGGGTATGTACGGCGTGGATGGGTAGGGTGAATCATCTAAAAAATCCATGAAGAGCAGGGAGGGTAAAGGAATGCGAGAACACATCCGCCACAAAGGAGAGCTCAAGAGAAACACAACAAAGTTACAATAGGGAGGAGGGTACCACACCCTTTTTGGAGAACGCAGCCAGTGTTAACGGCTCGGCGCATTGCTGGGCACCGTCCCGAGAGACATCCCGCCGTTGCCGACGCCACCGGGACCGCTCATCCCGCGCGTCATGTTCCCGATATTCGGGATGCCGCGCTGCCCCTGCGGATGCTGTGTGAGGCCGCTCCCGCTACGCGGCCGCCCGGACACACCGCCCGCACCCCACGGCCCCAGTCCGCCGCCAGGCTGCAGCGGATACCCCAGGGGCGCACTATCGCTCCGCGCGCGACTCGTCCGCGCCTGTTTCACCGGGGGCGCGGACAGCGCGTCAACGGACTGCGCGTGGTGCGGATGTGGGTGGTGGGAGTGCGGGCTGCCCCCGTTCGACATGCCCCCGCCGCTGTGGTTTGGCGATAGCCCCGGCTCGTCGTTCGACATCATGCGCTGGCGCTTCGAGCTTCCGCGGCCGCCGTCGTCCTCGAATAGATCCATCGTGATAGATCCGGGCGACGCGGGCAGTGGGGACCCGGACGTCTCACCGCGCGAGTAGGACATGTGCTGGAAGCTCTGCTGCCGCGACAGCGAATGCGAATGGTGGTGCCCACCGTGCTGGGACTGTTGCGGTTGTGGATGGTGTGAAAAATCCGCCGCCGTTGGGCTGGGATCGAACACGCGCGGCGAGGTGACGAAGATATTAGGTTCCAGCAGGTCACCGGGGAACTGTGGTACTAAGGAGGCGGATGAATAACAACAAGAGCAATGGAAGGAAAGGTGACCGACCACTACCCGGGAAGCCTTTGTTGACGACGTCCCAAAGCCGCCCAACAACAGACACAAGCTTGTCTACGCGACGACGCTCAGCATTCAGTTGCTCCGACATGCGGCGATTCTCCTCGCGCATAGCACCCAGCTGCGCGGCTACCTGTCCGCAGCCATTGTGAGTTTAGTCAACGTGATCGCAGTGAGCGCACCTCGCCGGGAAGCTCGACCCGGTGCTTGACGGCCGGGTCAGGCTCGAGCGCTTTGCGCTTGATCTCGTCGAGGAGGTCTGGACGGCCGCGGAGGAAC